TAAATGTTCATTGTAGGCATGTGTGCAGCGTCTGGAAAGTCCATTTGTGTGCTGGTCAGGATGCCAGTGTCTCACACAGGGAGGCCGTCTGTCTCGCCCTCTCCACTGCACTGCACTCATGACTGACCCTTAATCAGAGGAAGGTTGTCTGATGGGAGCACAGACGGATAAATCACTCCTCACCCTGGGCTGCTATCTGGGACGCGCATAGCCAGGTTGTCCCGTCAGCGGACTGGCCCTCCGCCCGGGGCCCTCCAAAGCTAACAGCCATGCGGTATGGAGCCCTTTGGTGAGGATGAGGACCCTGCCTGCCATGGCCCTCTGGAGAATAATAGGCCACATTCTGTGCATATCAGTACTTATATTGCTGCTGAGAGGCTTTGCTGTGTAGGCATATACTTTTCTAATCTGCCAATGTGTTTCTTCTTTCTTTCCTTTATGTCGTTTTTTTTTTTTCTGTACACAGTGTATTGCTCATGTAGCTTCTCTGGTGTTGAGAATGTTCTGTGTTTTGTGGGAGTTTCTTTTTCTTTAAACTATGTAACCAAAAATGCCAAGATAAAAAGGAGGTACACAGACACTACTCTGGTTGAATAAGGGTTAAAAAAACAAAGAAAAACGAAAAAAGCAATTAACTTACATGTTAGTAACTTAAAGTTGCAATAGCAAAATCTAAAAACCCTCATTTAAGCTTCACATAAAGCGTGTGTGAAATTCACTTAAAGTACTTCAGTAAAATATATTCAAAGTATTGAAAAGTAAAATTAGGAATTATGAAAATGTTGGCCTCATTTACTAATTTAAATGGTAATAACAGTTAAGAGAGAACTGTCTAATTGCTTAGAAAATAATGTTCTATAACAGTCGAATGATTGAATTAACTTATTTAATTAAAATAAGGGCTAATGCATCTTAAAAAACATACAACCTTACAGCCTTGTTGTTTATAAAAAAGGTATACAAAATCAGAATTAAAAAAGTTCAATAAATGTAGCTCTGTGTTTATTGTATCAATCTATCTGTGTTTATCTTTCCAAGATTGCCAAGGGATTCTATGTTTTAAAAAAGTATGAAGTACCCGCAAAAGGCACTACAAAATGTATTCCACCGCTGTCTGCAACATATTTTTTCATGTTTGCAATTGAACAATTAAAGCTGATGCTGATAAGAGAAAAAAAATGATATGAAAACAATCACCAAGCCTCTGATTGTAATTGTTAAGAATTATGGCAAGTTTGAGCACAGCCTAATGAAATAATTGTCATATCAGTGAATGAGTGGGAGTGCGGAGTGATTTACTGCACAGAGGAGCGTGCTTATCTCTCCCTCTGTCCCATGCAGGAAACACTGGGATGTCACCAGGCAGATTAAAAGCTTGGCACAGCTGATACGGAGCGCTCAAAATGGATGGGGTGGGGACCTCCTGACTGCTGTGTGAAGGGGTTTTGGAGGGGAGGGGACAGGCGGTGGTGTGACCTTACAGTTTGAGTCCTGTTTGGCAAGGATTCATTCAAAATCTGGGAATTCCAGTGGAAGTTAATGTCACATGAATGGAAATTTGAATAGTAAGCATACCTTTCCCTCCACGTCTGCCAACTTTTTATTAGACTGCCCTCAAAGGGGAAATGGAATCTATCAAACTTATTGTGTGTGTTTAAAAATTCAGACAGAATAGGAAATGTGATGCCTGTAAAAGAGATAATATTTGCAGGATCAGCTGCCTGGCTTTTAATTAAAGTGAATGTTTAAAATTGCTGTTGTTCGCAGTGCAGCTGTATCACTTATAATTGAATTCCTGACAGCTGAAATGCTTGGAATCTTAAGCAGTTCAATGGCTTCAAAAACTAGCTCAACCTTTAATTTCAGACAAGAGGCTAAACGTAGCATCATCATCAAAGCAAACTGCTGTATTTTCTTTATACCACCCATATTTCTGCTCGTAACAGAAGCACTCTTTGCCTCTCGAATTGAAGCAATATATGTAGAGAGGTGTTTGATGGGAACACACACAGACAGATCTGGAGTAGCAGCTGCATAGAGGACGATAGGCCAAATATAGAAAGGGGACAAGGGCCAAAACATATCACACATTTTTTCCCATTAACAGCATAGGTTTCAATCTAACTTGGCGCCAATTAGTTGCAGTATAGGCGCATGGACTTAAAAATAGAGCGTGTGGCAGGGGTGGCAATGCACCCGGAACGCAGAGACAGATATCTCTGTCATGGTGGCGTGTGATTTCACGTGTAATCATGTGAAGGAAAAATAACAGTATTCATATCACCAGCTGGTTCGTTATAACACTGTGACGTGAAAGGTTATGTGACAAATGGAGCTTCAGACATGTGTTGCTATTACCTGTCGTGCTGCTTTGAGAGCCAGGCTTCAGCTCAAACTATTTTCGGACTGATTCGAGTATGTTTGGCAGGATCTGTGCCGCTGTATCAGTGCGACCAGACTTTTTCACCCGCTTGGTTTCAACATTTGCTTGTCTCTTATCTCTGAGGGCTGGAATGAGGGGCATGCAGGCTTCAGGCCTACCTGTTTACTCTGAGGGCTTCCTCCATTGTCCCCCCCCCCAACCAGCTTCCTTTCACGGATTTTTCACATTTTTGTGCTCGTTGTTTTGGGAACAGGTCATGGTCTAGGCACATAGGAGCCTCCTGTGGCATTCCAGAATCCCTGTCTGGTCGGGCTCAGCAGGAATTCTTTCCTACAGCACATATTGTCTCTTTCGTACACACCTGGGGTATTTTTACAACTGTTAACTAAAGTGTCATCACTTTGTCCTTTTATACTGCGCTGAAACAAGATCACTTTTATATATTCCTTTGATTCCTTCACTTCAGCCCCAGGTTTACTGTGGAATGAATTCATCCCTTGTCAGCTAATCCCTTTCCCTACAGAAATAGATTCAGTTCAGTCCAGTTTTGGTGTCTGTTATGCAACTCCTAATAGTTCATGGTTAAGCATATACATGAGCGGCTAATGCCCTCAGTAATACGCTTCAACCTAATCTACTGGACCCCACTACGCTGCTTAACGTAATTGTATTTCTAGAACAATTTTTTTACATGTGTATTTCTGTATGGACTATAAAGGATGCCACATGTGTTTGCTAATAAGGGAATGTATTTTTAAATGTGTTATTTCAAACTAACACGCCTTGTACAGATCACACAGGGTCAAAGACAAAACAATTCCATGATATATCTTCATGATTGATACTCTGTGTTAAGAAGTAACAAGATGCATGTTTACCCCTTTTATTGGAAACAAATGCTCTTCCCTTTATGGTCCTGCGAATGGAGAGCTCTTTAATCCTTATTATCTAAAGAAGCCCTCAATGGGATTACTACCCTGCACGAATATTACAACTGGACACCATTTTACCATCTGCTGCCACTGGTGGAGAAAACCCTGTTCTACAAGTACAAAAACACTACAATCGGATTTGTTATACTGTATAACTGATATAACTTCATTTAGTTTCACTTGAATTTATTTTATCTAATTATAAAAGGAACATTACGATATTTTTGTTTTCTTATTGTTTTGTTTGAGCAAAATTGACAATATATTCCCAGGGGAGAGCCTTTATAAAGTTGTGTTTCAGGTCTGTTTAACATATGAAACATAGAATGCATACTTCTCAGGTCCTGACACCACCTCTACTGTATGTCCTGCTATGACAGCTCTACATGCACCTGTGTCACACACCTTTCTGAAGAGGATTTACAAGCAATGCACTTGCAGGGGGGATTAACTTTGCACAAAGATTAAGCAAATTACACAGGATGGTGTCTCCAGAAATAAACTGTTGCTGTGCAGTTAGCTTAACAGCAGTCACCATGTAGAACACGGAAAAGCTTTTCATGGATTCTTTCAAAACGGTTGGGAATTTTACAATGCCGGAGTAGGTGAGTGTACGTTTGAATCTATGATTTTTTGTGGTATTTATTTGCTTGTTTACTGCCTCCAGTTATAATCTGTATTATGTGTAACCCTTGCAGCAGTCATCTCATGAGCGTAGATCGCAACAAAATAATGTTTCCAATTGATTTTGTCTCCAACAATTTTTCCAATATTGCAATATTGTCCTTCCTGCTTATAAAAAAGAATATTATATATTTTTATTAACAGAAAATACAGCATAACTTGTACTGCTCAAACTACAAATACTAAATAATACATCTTAATACATTTTATTAACTTTTTAAGTGACTATTACAATGACTGATTAGCAATTTAAATAAAATAAAATAAAAATGGTTTGCAATTTAGCACTGATGCACTTTTTTCACACTATATAGCAATTCAATATTCAAAAAGTTGTGATGGATTAATTTGAAGTGCATCAGAGATGTTATACAACATAGGGTTACAGTTTGAATTGATATTTGTATATATGCACTTTCTATATTAAAAGTAAAACACTAACATGTGGTTTAGCATATTTCTCTTAGCATAAGAGGGAAAAAAAGAAGCTAGTACAATAATTAGTCTAACGTGTATCGCGTGTTATAGTGCTACGACCCGGGTAATCAAATAATTAAAGATGGCGTTCACGTGGCATGATTCCCAGAATTGGGGTGATTTACCTAATGGCCACTGTGAAGTAAACAACATATGCTAGCAGGAAGTTTCACTTGTTTACGCACATCATTAGAGTTGTGGTGTTATGTTATGTGTGTGTCTGACCGAGGGTCAATCATTTTTTTCATAGATTTCCTGAAGTCTTCTGTTATTGACTGTTGTGATTATTTGTTGTGCATCACTGGAAACTGAACAAAAATAGATATAAAGATATTTGTTTACTCTTTACCACATTACTTAACGTGCAGGAGCAACTTGATAAACCTTTTGCAGTACTTAACTATAGATTATTGGCAGAAAGCTTTTCTATAAAATCAAATCATTTCCTACAATGGGAAGTGAAAGAAACAGATTCCTTACCTCTATTTCGCTCCCCTTCCAGCTGATCGGCCATTATGAGTGAGATGGGGTTTCCGAGGGTCCCCCCTGAACAGTCATCGGGGAGTGGGCACTCCTTTGGCACCCCACGCCATGCGAGAGTCATTGACCCCATCCTATCAAAGAGGGTCTGCTTCTACAAAAGTGGAGACCCTCAGTTCAATGGCCTGCGCATGGTCATCAACAACCGCACCTTTAAAACATTTGACGCTCTTCTGGACAGTCTCTCTAAAAAGGTTCCCCTGCCGTTTGGGGTGAGGAACATCACCACTCCTCGGGGGGTTCATGCAGTCCATACTTTGGATGAACTGGAGGATGGAAAATCCTACATCTGCTCCGATAACCGTAAGGTCAAACCGTTCAACCTGGCATTGGCCAGGAAGAAGCCGCCGCCATGGTACAACGCAAGGCCTGTTAGTTCCCGTCGCCGGACCGTCCAGCAGGCCAGGTCTTTCCCCGGGAAGAACCTCCACAAGCATGAGCAAGTGTTTATGCGCACCCCAAAGAAGCTACTGGTTTTTCGCAATGGGGACCCCACTGTTAAACACACAGTGGTGCTTCACAAGAGGACTACACCATCCTTTGAGTCCATCCTGGATTATATTTCAGAGCTGGTACAGTACCAAGTGGCAAAATTGCACACAGCTGATGGAAAACGAGTGAGTGACTCCTATATGTCCATACAATTCATTTCTAAGGAGAAAATAGCACTATGACAACTTACTAGAAGTACATATAAATAATACATAACATATTTGATTTCCATTTTAAAACAGGCACAGTATACCCTCCTCTTGAGAAACCACAACCATATTATTACATAACTGTTTTTTTGAACGGATATGTAAGCAGATATCTTTGTAGCATTTAACTTGAGACATTACGATGCTAATATATATGTTTTATGTTCCGGTGAGTTCATTGCTGTTCCATAGAGAACTGGCTTGAACCTGTTGAACCAGTTATAACTGTCACAAGGAGAGAAAGTGTTAATCTTCTTTAGCAACTCACCCTAATACGTACTGAAGCATTCTGGGATACTGCACTGTAAGGCTTAAGGTCATGGATGTCATGTCAATTCAGAGCAGGGTGGTATTGCAAGGTGCCATTTGAACAAGCACTACATTTAATTAAGATTTGTAACACATACACTTAGCAATTAAGTCACTCCTTATCAGATGTACATTCAAGTTTTTCATTCTAGTGCTAAAAAAGTTTTCTTTCTGCAGGTGGATGGTCTTCCAGGCTTGATATTGTGCTCTGGGACTGTAGTGGCTGTAGGCAGGGAGCCATTCAGGCATGCAAACTACAATGAACAGAAATCGCCAGGTCCAACAATGCTGCGTACCAAAAGAGTGGGTTCAAGAAGACTAAGGGCTTTAAAACGTAAGTTTAGAAAAAATGTATTTTCTAAGCAATTATTTTACTTAGGTTTTAAGAATATTTATTCCATTGATGCAAACATACAGTGTGTGTCTGCAGTAATCTACTTGCTCTCATTGGATGAAGCCTTATGTGTAGCACTGTGGATTACTTACATACACTGTCAACTCGGCTATTGCTCTTCATCAGCTGTGAACTGTTGTACTCACTTTTAAATGTTTCTTTTTTTCCCTTCTCTTTCTTCTCCTTCATGCTTCTTGGCTTCCTCTCCAACTGCCTACCAATCCTCTTCAATCATTGCCCTAAATCTTTGGATATTTCACAACATTAACCTTTTTTGTACACATATCATTTATTTGAATCAAAAGGTAAAAAGAAGTCCCTATCATGCACTTCAAAATCAAGAACTTTCTCCTCCTCATCCGAGAAGTACATCGTGAATCGGATTCATAACTCCATTGCAGGAAGTTCATACGACCTACCTAGTCACTCATTGGAGTTGGAGTCAAGTCGTATGCTGGAATCAGTACCAGAAACACCTGAAGGGCATGAAAGCGTCCTGCCCTCGGAGGACGACATTGAAAAGTCCTTTCGTGTGAACCAAGATGGTAGCATGACAGTGGAGATGAAAGTGCGCCTGACAATCAAGGAAGAGGAAACCATCCATTGGACGACCACTCTGTCACGCTCAGCTTTAGCCAATCAGCTTAATGAGACCTGTTTGCCCGAGCTTGATGCAGAGCGGGAGATCAGCTCAGCAAAACCAAACTCACAGGAATTACAAAGCACTGCGGCCTCCACCGATACCATCAACAAGGACAGACCTCATGATAACAATGACGATAATCCTCCATCGCTGTGCAATGGAGCTTTCAGTGAGAGTGGCATAGAAGAGGACGATACCAAAGTACACAGGGAGGTGGTGTCCCCTAGGAGTACTTCTACACCAGAGCGGAAGCAAATGAGAAAAAAGCAAACATCTCTGGAGAGTATACAATTATTGACGGCAGAGGGGATTCAGGAAGATATGGTCGGTTCCTACTCCTTCAGAGAGCAGATGGAAAATGGGGCCATGACAGAGCAGTACTGCATGGTCAAACAGAGTAGCAGTAGACCAGTGCCCAAACCTAGAAGAATTAGCTCTTTCGATGGCAACAGCAGAAATGTGTCCACCTTCAAATCAGCAGGTCTGATGTCTGAAATCCTGCAGATTGAATCCAACGAAGAGGAGGTCCAGGAAACCGTCTTACATGTATATGAACAGCAGACCTACCAGGAAAGTTTATTTGCAAACCATAGTTCACAGGGAACTGCTTCTGGGGTTCCTCTTTGCAGGCTAGCTACTTCAGATACTGGACAGCTCTCTTCTAATAATGAGTGTGAACTCCAGGTCTGGGGGACATCATCAGCTTCTGAGTCAATAAGAATGTTGAGAAATGAGAGTCAGTCCGTCAATTCTGATTTAACTTCGCCTTCACTCAAGACTGGTGCAATTCAGGCAAGAAATGCTCAACAACGTTTCAAAAAGCCCACGAAAAGCAAGAAGCCCCAACAACGAGAGGCCAATAAAGATAAGAGGGTATCCACAAAACCAAAAGTCATGAAGAAACGTGTTTTTAGGCTTATGTCACCAGGGAAAAGACAAAAAAATAATTCTACAGGAGCAACCGATAAAAGTAATAAAGCTAAAACGTTTTCTAGTGCTGGATTCCTTAAGAGAATATACGGGAAAAGATCAAAAACACCTAAAAGCATGATAAAGCTCAAAAAGGTACCAAAACAAGATGGAGAAGGGGGTTGTGCAAGAAATAGCTCACAACAATCGGAGAACACAATGAAATGTATTCGAGAAGACCAAAACATACCATCTTCATTGAAAAATACTTCTTTGGAGACAGCTGATTTAGAAAAAAGCCACATGACTGTTTCTACAAATGAAGCCAGCCAAACTAGGGGAATACTGACACGACAGACATCAATGCATCAGGGGGAAAAGAACAAAAACGAGTCATATGATGTCAGCAAACACACATCTTTGCCTGCTTTTAACTCATCCAGTTCTATTACTAATGAATATGTGGAAAACTGGCTGGAGAAAGCCCATCTTAACCCCACGGACTATCCAGAAGAGGACAGTAAAAGCATAGAAGCAGTAACCCCTATACAAACACAAAACAGCAGGGATGAGGAGTTTGAGAATGGGAATGGCTTGACGATTGTGGCGGAGGAGGTTAAGTGTTTGGAAGAAAAAATACAATCATGTCCAACAGTCAAAAATGACAAACTGCCTGTGAATGGGTTAAGAGGTTCTGTCAAACAAAGGATCCAGTCTTTTGAAATTAAATCATCGAGCCCATCAATGGAGAAATCCACACAAAATGCGCAAAATGTCCGTAGTCATACCACCACAAACACAAACAACTGCAACAGTTTAGCTGAGGTTAATACAGAACCAACAATTCCGCTTTGGAATCATATCTGTTCTGAAAAAAATCCACCAACTAATGAAACATCCAGGGAAATGCCATCAGTGAGCAAACTGGAAAATAAATCAAGTCCAATCCAAATCCCACCTATAAAAGAATCACCTTACAATAGTCTTTCAATGGAGCTACCACCCCCACCACCACCAGCTGAAGATACAGAGCTATCAAACACTGAATGTTGTGGGATGGATGCATCCTCATTGCCCAGCTGCCCATTAGACAGGCTCTCATCAGAGAGCAGTCAAATGTCAGAAAATCTAACATTATCCACCAGTCCTACATCTGACAAGACCATATCACCAACCGACCACATCATGGAAATGACAACATCAATTCAGACTGACATTCCTTCAACGGAGAGGAATGCACCATTAACAAGAGCTCCATCCATTAAAAGGGCCCCTTTGGTCAGTAATGTATCTCTTGACAGAAAAATGTCTATCAGAAAGGCTGGTCTAGATAAATATACTTTATGCAGTAATGCCACTTCAGAAACAAACACACCATCTTCTCCTGTCCACACGGTGTGCAATGATGTACTGCCAAATGGTATCCTTTTAACAGGGACACCACAAACAAGGGAATCACCATTAGAAGAGACACACATTTCAAACAGCATCTTACATTGTGAAAGTAGTCAGTCATGGTATACTACTATAACGCCTACTAGTTCAAAATCTGAAGAAAGGATGTCATCAGCCAGTATTTCATCATGTGACACCCCAACACCAAGTGATTTTCCATTGGAAGAGACAATAAGGGAGAAAAACAATTTTACCAAAAAAGAGGCATCATCACCAAGCACCTTGGTGAAAAAACGTGTGACAATTCCATCTCCAGCAAGCAGTCCATCTCTAGAGAGAAACTGCCAAAACAAGAAGTCTCCAAAATTGACATCATTGCAACGCCATATTCCAGATAAAACTATGTCACCAAATATTGGAATGCAAAGACATGGATCGCCAAAAGCTAGCCCCTCCACTATCAGAAAGCTTTATACACCTAGATCACAAAAGAGAATGTCTCCATATTCTCAGTCTTTGGACGTTGCGTCACCATCTGTCAGACACAAGTCAAGTGAGAACATGCTTTCAAGAAATCTCTCCTCAGACAGTGCATCAGAGCCAAAAGATAATACACTAAAGCAAACAACACACCACAGAAAGCATCTCTCAACAGTAAAATCAACCTCTGAAATGGACAAAACACTAACTTGTGACAAACGTAAGCCTTTGGAAGCTGATCAGACGGATTTCAATAAGGGGACAAATGACATTACAACATCAGATGAAGAGAAATCCATAACACAAATAATGTCCCCGCCATTACACATGGCAAATCAGCCAAACATGAAACCTGTGCTTGAAAAGATTTGCTACTCAATAAAGTCCATTAGACAGATTACACAGAACAACCGTCGATCATGTCTGGAAAAGTCCAACAGCCTGCCTGACTTCTCTTCTCATGTAGCCTCAACATTTGGCTCATCCACTAAAGCTCTCCTTGCTTTCTTGTCCGTCATGACCCTAAAGGAAGGCATGGCTAACCTTGATATGGTCGAGCTGAATGCAAACAGCGTAAGCTGTGCAGAAGCTTTAAAAATGATTGATTCTCTCAGAGAAATTGCCAGCATTGAGGACTCCAATGAGTTACAAGTTAGTTTGTCCAATTTACAGCAGTCTGCCTCGAAGCAGCTACTTCAAAGTTGGCAGGGCTTTCAGGAACTCAAATGCAAGAGCCACAGCGAAACACCGATTTATTCAGAAGACGGACATGCCACCCAGGCTGGTCCAGAAAAAGACTGTGGCATTGATGAAAATGTAATTGATGAGATTGTGGATACTCTTGGCATACCTGATCAACTCAAGGAGGAATTGGACTCTCTTTCAATAATTGTCAAAAGGGACAATGAAGAAGAGATAGAAGTGGAACCAAAAGACAACATTAAGGCCAAGATATCCCAATTCTCCACAGGCGATGGTGTTGGTGTAAGGACTGTTGCTCAAGATGAGAAAGTTAAAGTTGATGTGGGCTCCATTATTAGAACATTCACAGACATTACCCAGCCAAAACAGTCCAACACAGTCAGGATCACTAAAGAAACCAATGACAATGCTAGCCAATATGGGCAGGATGGTGCGGCTCCATGTCCACCAACTGAACCCAATGATAAAGAGATACCAAATGAAAGGCAGCCATCAGTGCTTGTTAAAGATAACTGGGAGCAAGGCCACAAGGAAGACAAATCAAACCAAGAAAGGGATCAAACTAATGAAGTAGTCAGCGACAAGCAGAGTTTTGAAGAAGATAGTTGTACATTCGAGCTGGATCAGCAAGACAAGGTTAATCAGATGAGGATGTACAGTGAAGAGAGTTTCCCTGAGAACGAGCTTAGCCATTATGACGAGTCAGGTACAGATGAGGAAGGGCAGAGCATGTCAAGTGCCATTAAAGATTTAGAGGCGACTGTGAGCTGTGAGCAGAGTGCATCGAGCTCAGAGTCAGCTGAGCAACATAGTTCAGAAGAGGAACAAGAAGTTGAATGTGAGGGGATACTAAATGAAAACTTGAACCATTCTGAGGAGGAGGAGGAGGAGGAGGAGGAGGTGAAGCAACCAAGCCCGGATTACGATGTTGAAGTAAGAGGGGAAGAAATTATTTCCAGTCCAGATAGCCAACACAAGTCCATATCAGAGGAAGAGGAATCGGAGATCGGATGTCAAGCAGGATCTACAGGACCGAATGTCAGTTTTGATGAAAGCACATGTAACTCAGATGTTGATGATCCATGTTCAGAGGAAGAGGAGCAAGAGGTTGAATGTACGAAACTACAGGTTATCATTGAGGAAAATGTGTCTGGCAATGAGGCTGAGGAGGAAGAATACCTTGATCATCTTCCAGTTCAGAGGGAGATAAAGGATTTGATTGCAGAGACAGAGGAGAACGAGGTCAGCTCAGACGATGAGGACCAACACGAAACACAAATATGTGATGAGATTAGTCTAAGAAACTTGATAGAAAATCAGGATTCATATGCCAATAGCAGTTTGATTAATTCTCACAATTTAACAAAGAGTTATGGATTCAATGCGGGTGAAGATAGTGGGAATGACCACAGCAGCTGTGAAGAACATATAGAAGTAGATCAACCAAAGGTCGACGATGGACAGATCAACTGCTTGAATAAATCATTATTAAGCTTCGATGTAAGAGAAGAAAAAGAGGCCAATATGGACAGATATAAGGAAGCTCCTGAATTGACAACAAAGTGTAAAGTAACAACAAGTGAAAAGGCCGTGGACAAACTCAAGCATCAATTTGAAGAATTCATATCCCAATCTGTCACAGAGAGAATAATTCTTTTGGAAAAGAAAGTTGCTGATGAACAGAAGACAACAGAGAGTTCTGCCATCAAACGCTCCTCACAAAGACATCTCGAGTCAGATATGGAGAACTCCCCCTCTGAATCGCCTACATCTCAAACAACTCCCATCAACCGATCACCTCCGCAGTCGTCCTTATCGTTCAGCTACGATTCCAGTGGCGTTATAACATCAGAGCCTGAAAGCAACAAGGTACGATTAATAAGGGAAATGTTCCTGGCAAAAAATGCCACAGATGTCCAGCACGGACGTTTCCCAAGCCTGAAAAAATCAGATCTGTCCGACATAAGAGCGGAGACCTCAGCTAGTGCCGGGTACCAGTCTCTGACTTCAAGTGACCTGTCCAGCGGCGACGATGATTCAGCACGAAAATCCATCACTAAAGGCTTTGTGAGAAGAACTATCGAAAGGCTTTATGGCAAAAAAGAAGCAAGACCAGATGAGGAGGTGATTGAAAAGCCCCCATCTGCTACAAAAGAGAAAACGAAAGAACATCCGAGCGTTTTCTCGCCTTTCCACATAGCCAAAGCCATGTCTGAGTTGTCTTATTTCAATTCATCTTCTGCTGTGGACACCTTGAGTGAAGCAGCACGTTGCATTACTTTTCATGCACAGGTCAGGCCAGAAGACGCTATTGATCCTGAACAATGGCTGTTTAAAGAAAACACGCTGATGAGAAAGTCGATTTCAGACCCGGTTGGAATAAACAAAAACTCTACAAAGTCTCTTCAAGGCCAAGGAATGTGTGAGGATACAGAGGAGAACACCTCACATACCCGTATTGACATTGAAGTTGAGGACAAAAAGTTGACATTTACAAGAAAGTGCACCTACTTTTCTCTCCATGCTAGTGACTCAGAACCATGTCAAGAAGACCTGAGCATAGTTAGTAAGAACAGCGCTCATGTTGACGGTATCATAGAGACAAGGGACAGTTTGGAAGACACCAAGATTTGGGCGGAGAGGAACGGCACGCTGCCCGGTGTTGGCGTTATTGACTTTAAGAAGAAGGATAACAAAGTGCATCCACTGGTAGAGCCTTCACCTGATGCTGAGGTAGTTGTGTTGCAGCCTGGGAAAGGACAGGGAGTCATGAGCAGAAGGGTCGAGGATCCTGATATGTTGGACGTACTTTACAATTTTTGTGGTCAGAATTGTCCTTTCTTGTAAGGACGTCTTACATTTTTAACAAAAGTTGTTCAAAAATAAGTTGTTGAGCTACAGCAGGACATATTGTCTTTGGTGCCTACATTTTGATGATGCCATAGCCTTGGCAAAATACACTATCATGTCAACTCATTTGAGCCAAATGCTGAATGTGTTACAAGCCAATGTATTAACCCTTTATTTACCATCTCAGCTAAGAGTTTGTGCTCATTATTATGTCAAAATAGTTTTTTTGTTACATGGTGATTGTTTATTTGCCACACTCTGGAGCAGCTCTTTTCTTATTATAGGTTGCATGTCAACAGATCAAGTCCCGAGAGCATTAGTGTAATCTTGTTTTAAAACTCTTAAAGCAGATCAAGTCCCTGCAGATGTCATCCTGAGTCAACACGTCACTTTGTTGTTGCAGCTCAGGTATGGGATGAAGTTCAGGTCAACATTTTGTAACTGTATATATATATATATACACATGTTGTGTGCAAACTGTAGAAATTGTCATTTAATATCCTGATGAATGTTTTTTTGTATATTGGGTGTCTAAAGTGTAAATAAGACATTGATTTTCATAGCATAATACTTATTTACCAAGCATTTATAATTAGAATACATGTTTTTTTTTCAATTTGGCAGCTGTGACAATTTTGTCTCTTAAATTGATGTGTGAGAATAAAAGTGTGTATTTACAAATGTTGGGAATTCTTTTTTACTGTGAGATAACATTTTTCCAGACTAAGATAATGTGCATTTAGTCCCGAGGTGGTCCTAGTGTCAGTGAAAGTCAACAGGCCAAGGTGACCACTGTGTTTGAGATACCTTAGGAAGCTCAGTTTGGTTGTTTTTCTCCTGCTGATCAGCATCCGATCTCCGTGGAGGAGCTGTTTTCTCACTCTGCGGCTGAGGAAGTATCCGTGTTGTTCTAAGGTTGTTTTGTTTCTCAGAAGTTGCCATCGAGCTGATCCGTGTTGTGACAGGAGTGTCGAGGAATGCACTAAGAGGGGAGTGTTTAGATCTGCAACTACAAAGAGAATACATGACAGCAAGACAATTCCCACAATTGACACCTGTCAAACATTAATACAAATTAAGGCCGTTTATAGGTGTGATCCATAAATACGTTTCACATTCGAAAGATGATCATTTTAAATCAAAAATAATCCAGTGTTACATCTTTTAACATACAACAACAATGTCCACTAGATGGCATTAGTGACTAATACTACAATGTAGACTGAAGAGGGTCAGAAGCTTGCTAGTGGAAATGGAAGAGCACAAAAAAAGAGAACTGAGTAAGAGAAATTGTTTTAAATCGTTTATTATTTAAATAAATATTTACATACAGCTTCGTATAAATCAAATATCTTTTTCTCCACGACACATTTTTCTAAAAGCAATTGCTTTAACAAGTAGGAAAAAGAAAAGAAGGGATGGAGTACAATGATACTGTAAATCTGTGTAGAGAGGAAGAGATACAACCCCTCATGTTGATCACCGAGCAAATGTTCCTGTTGGTAATCATAAAGGCTGAACCTTAACACATCCATTATTAATGTTGTTATAGTATGCATAACTCTACATGATCATTTGATATACATTTCATTCGATTTTACTTAGGTAAAAGGAGAATGATACTCTACATTAACGCAATAAAAAGCCATAACGTATGGCTAGGAAAAAAACAAAAATGTAAGTGACACATTATTCATTCAGGCACAAAGAAAGCAATAGACAGCTTCGGTGAAATTAAAAGGACATCACTCATACAGTTTTAGGCTCCAATGCCCTGCTAAAAACGGTGTACAGTATATGGCTCAGCTCGGAAAACTAAACGGGCAAGGTGATCTAAGAAATTAGAGAACACAATTAATGCCCTGGCTACAGCTTCAACCCACATCTCTTTAGGATGATCAGTTTGAAATGTTATAATAAAAACATGACAGTGAAATCAGTGGGACTTGTGTGGAAAAAATACATATTTAATCCGCCAGTAACATGATCGCTGCTGCTTAAAACCCAATCTGAGACGACGGCAGCATCACTTTGAGCTGTGAAGAGATGGATATGATAATCCGTTGAAGTACACTACATTATGCAATTAAAAATCATTTCAACTTAATATGGACAAAACTCTAAAATAACATTTAAAATGCACCTGTTTGACCTCGCAGGAATTCAAAGGAAAACATCAATGAAAGGCTCTTTGTTTTCTATTGCTGTCAGGTCATGCATGTAAACTCTATCCTTCTAATAAAACCAATTGTTTACTTAAAAGTGTATGAAGAAAATACTCTAATTTTCCAAAATACCATTCGGGGAGGGATTAAAGGGCGAGTTAATAAAAATGATTAACAACACCTTGTTGTTTTCATCCTGAGATTTAAACCAATGTGTGTCCTCTTCACGGAGTTATTTACAGTTTGTTTTTTACATTTTGTAAATCTGGATCAGACGCTGTTTAGCGATGATGCGTCCCGGTTCGATCCATTGTCACCTTTTCCTGGAGACTGTCATACTGCGTCAGTTTTTGGCTGGGATGAGCGCGTTCCACTCACAAAGTTATAAACCAAAAACTGAGAAGTGGAAAAATAATGTGTGGCGAAGAGCTTCCCGTCGGGTGTGGGGTCGGAGAAAGCGATCTCGTCTTTGCTCAGGTACGAACCGTAATCAAAGTTGTTCCTGTGGAGGAAAGAACAAAATGGATGTCATTATGTCTGTTATTTTGAGGCTTTATCATATAGGTGGTTTTGAAGATGTTCTGACCTGAGGCACTCCAGCATGCGGGAGGCGATGCCCTTGCGTCTCATCATGTTCACCACCCAGATGCGACTGATACCACAGATTGCTGGCTCCGGTGTCGTGGAGCAGCACCACGCTCTCTGGCGCTCAAACATCACCTTTTCTCCCTCTGTGCCCTCCGGTCCATGCTCCTCGATCACCCTGTATCCCTGCGATCATATAAAGGCTCAGTACAGTTTTACCTGAGGGTCTAGAAGAGAGGTCTAAGGCATATCTATTAAGAATTGTATTGACAGCATTCCTGAAGTGCATCACCATGAAATGGTTAAAACCAGAACCACCCACCTAGGGATGGGAATTTGAAAGCAAAAATACATTTGAATATTTGACCCCCAAAAAAATGGTTAACCGATTAACCGAAATGTACATATCCTATCAAAAAAAAATAAAAAATGTGGGAAAAGATTTTACAAAAAAATAAAAAATAAATTAATTTTGAAAAATAAATAAATACATAATCAAATAAGTATGGAAACCAAGTCGAATTTGTCAAATGTATTGAACTGGTGATCACAGTTTGAACAGTTGACAGCTATAGACCTAGAGCACATGTGTCAAACTCAAGGCCCGGGGGCCAAATCAGGCCCTTGGTGGATTTAATTTCGGCCCGCAGGATCATTTCTAATTACTATTAGATCTGGCCCGCCGCTATATTGCACGCACACCTTCTCTCCATCCTGAGGGTCTCCTCAGCTCAGAGCCTGACCCCAAACATTGATGAACTTGCACCCAAGATGAGATGCCAAGTATCTGAACTAGCATCACAGAGCAGCACACTGAGTTTAATGGATGTTTCCTTCTGCACCAAAAACAGGGCATGTTTGGTTTTTTCTTTGAGGGAAATTGTTTTTTTGAAGCTGTTGTTGGCCTGTGGAAAAATGTAATCTTAAGAAATTACTCTGCAGATAGAGCCATAAGAAACGAATGCAACTGATTATTTAATGTTTAATGTTGTTTTTATAGGCAATCATTTAAGCTTTTATTAGTTCTAGGTTTAATATGTGCAATAAGTTCATTTCAATAAGTTTTGCAATAAAAATTGAACATGGAGTCCGGCCCTCGACTAGTACCGATTTTTAAATGTTGCCCCACTGTGTATTTGAGTTTGACACCCCTGAGAGAGCTTTCATGCTTAAAACATAACTTGGTTTCCTGATGGATGTGGACATAAACGCGAGTGAAGTATAACCGGACGCGAGAGAGAGATCACCACTTGTATGTCACTTGTATTCTCTCTCCATCATTATTATTTTTGTTTATTTACTATTATTTCTTATTTATTTTTCTAAGGTAGGTCATCTTTATTACATTTTTTATTTTATTTTGCCCTGGAGCGGTACTGAAAATGTGAATGTGACTGAAAGATATTTTGTACTGTATTATTACAACTGAAAATGTGATATTTTGTACTGTAAGGTTCTAAAATAAATAAAATAAAGGCTCTGTATAGTTCAAACTCATGCAGTCCGTTCATCCTTAACATGTTTTTGTAATAAACGAGTGTCAAAGATTGCAGTCTCTTACCTCTTGTATGTGCTCCGCTATAAGGCATCCACACACTTTCCTATCATGGGAGATGAAGAGGAAGGTCTTGGTCACAGAGGGACACTTGGTCTCCACCTGCTGGAAGCCCAGGTCATTGTCCACCATCTCCCTGATCTCCTCCACCTGAGAAAAACCAACAGTTAGTGGAAATGAAGATAACAAATGCTGGTGTGGTATTTTTCTCAAAGTTTTCCATTTGAATAACATCATATGTGTGATTTCATAAATTGTAATTGCGTCAGTAATGCCCATCATTGTTAAAGAATTCTATGATGGCAAAGGTTAATCCCCATTCACACACTGTACCTTCTTCAGAGCATATTTGGGATCGTCAGGCAGGACCAGAATGATCTTGCCATCAGGATACTCTGCCAGGATCCTCTCTTTCTTCCATCCCTGAAAAAGAGAAGGGAAAAATTGATGAATTTACAAGATAAACTCTTAAGCATAATGTTATTGTCCACATGAGGCTTTCTACTTCATTTACTAAATACAGTAACTACCTATGTGGCACAAATAATGCAAATATGCTTGCCTATTAATGTTAGTAATGTAGCTGTTCTTTCTTCAAATTTACTTCAGATTATTTGACTATTGTTTTATTATTTCCCTTACAGGTTATTATTATGTTTTATTACATGGCTTAGTTGAATACTCGATTCTGATTGGTCAATTCAGAACACGTGACACATTGTTAATCCAGTAGGACAGACCGCTGTCAAGGACTTATTGACCGTTGTTAAGGACGCTCACATCTGCACAAAGTCCGTTTGATTGAACTGTATACAGTTTGGCCGAAAAGCAAACTGCATGCAAGAAAACAGCGCAGAAAGCCTCCTTTTTACGCAACGGGCCAGACATAGACATCAAACGGCAAAACATTCAGTTCAGTTACTTTGGCATTAGCGAAGGGATATCTAGATACTTCCCAAGGTTTGACATAATGAATTGTGCTACTTTTAAAGCAAGCAACGATGTTTTCAAATCTGTAATCAAAAAGCTCCTCAAAAACGCTATCGAAGCAGTTCCTGCCGTTGCTGAGGAGGATCAAGAAAGAGAAAATAAAAGAGGGTAAAAGACGGAGCGCTGGACGTCAGATAAATCACCAGAAGAAGGCAGAGAGGAAGTAAACACTAACAGGAACACGGTATGGGCTCTGCAGTGTTTAAGGACTTGTTAGTGGATCAGAAACCGTGAACGGAGTTGGACAGTGCTGCCGTAAAGTTGTTGTTGTTGCAGTTCCGGCCGTTGGTGCGCCGTGGAACGGAGTTTTTTTTTTTTTTTGCGGAAGAAATACGATCATTTTTAAGTCAATAAAATAATTTAAATTAATATTGGGAGTCGAGCCGTTAGTTTGTTTAGTATATGGCCGTGTAATAAGCAAACAGAACACCCTGATGAGCCTGTCGGGTGTTCTTTTCCCCATAATGACCGCCTCGCTGCACATTACCCCTTACTTATTTGCTCCATCATTTCATAGCTACATACTATTGCATGCTGCTGTTAGGACACTGTACAATTTAAAGTAATCTAAATAAATTGATGAAACTTAAAGTGTATTGAACATTAGGAATATTAGCTATACTTGGTGGCATCTGTTTGAATCCCAAAAGTGAAGTAAAGTTGTATTCACTTAGCGTGCGATCAAATAAGATTACCCTCTAACTGTTGGTTATTTATTTGGCAAATAAACGACTCTACACATGCTTGGTGTAATGCACTTATGTCAATACTGTGAGAGAGTAGGCAAGACAAATAATAAAGCCATTTCATTTAAAGAATCCTCCTCTCACCACATATTTAACAGCGCTGATGAACTGGTTGTGGAAGAGTAGATGCTGAGATTCATCTTCAGGGTTGGCAGCAGAGTAGAGCATCCCACACACGCTGCAGGCCACCGCTCCAAAATGCTTCTGTCCTGCATCCTGCGAGACACGGAAAACAACACATCACTACTCGTGTAAATGCATCCTCAAAATATTCCCTTGAATAAGCCCCGAAGGCCTCAACCTTCAATTTCTGATATCCTTTAAAGTTGTCTTACTATGAAATGAACAATAATAACAGACATATGCTCACAATGATGGTCTGGGTGCTGTCTTTGTCAGCCTCCTTGAGCTTCTTCACTTCTTTTTGCAGGCAGGCGTCAGAGAGAGGAGTCCTGCCATCCCTCGTCTCCGCTGCTCGCCTGTTCACAAACACACATTACGTTATTTTAGATTTCTGTTGCTACGAGAGAAAACATGTCAATTTACTCGAGAGGATCTTCTTACTCTTGAGGTTTTCCCGATGTCTTCTCTTCTGTCTTGACTGTTTGTGCCTTGTTCTCAGGAGATGGATCCACACCAGTCACTGTCAGAAAAGGTAAGATTATTTCAGCGGTGTGATTTTGTATATCAAGAAAATAAAATCTATTATTTTAGTTTTATGTTGTCATGCGATAAGTAACAACTGTGACAACAATGTGAAGTCTTCTTGATAATTCACATCATAATACATTTTCACAAAGATTTCGTGAAATTAAATGAAATACTTAAGAGAACAAATAAGAGTAATTGTTTACTGGAAGATATCCTGTGGGCACGGTCTGAAATGTAAAAGTTCCTAAAGCTTAGAATTAGTAGGAAAAAGTTAGAAGTAATATTCTTAACTGGCACTTACAATGACATTTAAGACCAATCAAACAGAACTGATTTGACCAATTATTATTAGATTAAAAAAAACAATAACGAAAAACATTTTACCATTTAAAGCCTTATTTTTTTTAATTAAAACATTTGATGCATTGTTTATGTATTCTCTGGGACCCTGTGACCGATGTTTAGAAGAAAATACTAGCTGCAAATAAATGCATACCTTTAGGCTTTTCTTCACACTTCAGTGTGTCAGACACTTTAGAGCCATCTTTACTGGGAATGGAAGAGGTGGGATTAGCTGTACCCTAAATAACAAAAAGAGAAAGGGATGAGTATCATAGTTTTTCAAAAATGCTGTTTGTGACACACGTTATGGCATAATTCATTTTTGAGTTACCTTGCATTTGCCATCTTCTGCTGACGGCTTCTGTGTGGTTTTCTGGGACGTTGAATCAACGTTGGTCTTAGGAACAGCTGGCTTTGTCTCAGATGTTGTTGAACCTGCAGACTGAGATGCTGTCTGCCTGAGCTGAGCTGCACCCTCACTACCAGCAGGCTTCAACTGAGGCGAGGCAGCGGGCCTGGACTGACCTGGAGCTGAAACAGCCTTTGACTCGGGTGACGTCATGAGAGGAGGCTTTAACTGAGCTTTAACTAAAGGATGTTTTAAAGAAGCTGTGACAGTAGCTGTGACAGTAGCTGTGGCAGTAGCTGAGGTCTTTAACTGGGGTGGCGTTGCAACTGCAGGCTTTAGCGGTGGATTTGTGGAACCGGCTGGCCTCAACTGACCTGGGATCAGTCCAGCTCTGAGTCTTGCCTGGTTTGCAAGATGTAACGACTGAAGAGTGGGTCTAGATTGCGCTGCAGGGTTGGACTGGACACCCGGTCGTGTCGGCCTTGGCTGAAGACCGGGCTTTTTTGTTGGTAACGGGTCGTCATCTAGTTCAAAATCATCAAAGGAATACTTTGGCCTAGGCCTGTATGGCTTGTACTCAACGGGCTTCTGTTTTTGAGCTTTAACTCCATTAGGCATGGGTGGGGGTACTGCCGGGAGGGTCCTCTTTCCTGCTGATCGGGTCACTTTAGGGGTGGGCCCCGGAGAAGGGGTTTCTTTAGGAGTCAGAGCCTTAGTTTGCCTTGTAGATTTACGAATTTGAGCGTTAGGAGTCACCTTTTTGGAGGCTTCAGCTTCAGGTTCAGGGGGTTCAGTTTTGGGTGTTTCTATTTTAGTGGGTTCAATCTTACTGGGTTCAGCTTTGGGAGGGTCAGCTTTAGGGACTTCTACCTTGGGTGTTGCAGGCTTGCTGTTGGAGGCGGGGCTTGGGAGAGGTGATACGGATGGAGCGGCTGCAGGTGGAGGAGGAGCTGTGGCCACAGGAGGAACTGAGAAAGGAAAGGATGCAGACATCGGTGATTGCCAATCCATGTCTGAAAACATCTGATTTGCTTGGTCCGACTTAAGCTTCTTCACACGTGCCCAAGACATTTTCTCTCTCTGCAGTTCAACCTGTCTTAGCCTCTGATATCTAGTTAGCTTCTTCTTCTCATGGGCTTTCAGTGGCACTGAAATCTGCGTGACAAAGAAACGCCTCTTTGGAGTTTCTGGAGTGGGCTTTGCGGCGGGCTCTGCAGCAGGCTTTACCTCAGTTGGGGGCCGGGCTTTAGGGGCCTCCTCAGCAGGGGCCACTGAAGCAGAGCCCTCCTCTGGTCCCGCAGGAGTTGCAACAACAGCAGTGTCTGCCTCTTGCTTGTTAACAGGTGGACTTTCCTTCTTGCTCGTTTCACTCTTGGATGCGGCTTCTGATGCTGCTGCTAGTTTTTCGTCTTCTATCCTCTTTAACAGCATGCTGTCCGTAGCAATGTCCTCTGCAATTTCGTGACACAAAGCTAAGAGGTTCAGCTGCTGTCTGTTTGCAGTTCTCTTCGAGGCCGCAGCCTTTTGCTCAGCCAGAGCTGCCAGGCGGGCTTTGGTTCTGGCCTGTGTGTTCATTTCTTGTTTCTTGGGTTTTTCTGCCCCTTGTTCCTTTTGATCATCTTTAGTCTTTTCATTTAGCTTCAAGCTGGTCCCACATGTATCATCTTTAGCTTTTTCCTCAGACTTTTTAGGAGGGTCTGCCTCAGGTGTTTTCTGGAGTTTTTTTATTATTATGATGTCACTATCTTCATCACTCTCTTCCTCTGCTACTACAATCTCACGTCCGATCTCTATATCCTGTAGAATCTGCACTTCTTGTAAATCCAAATCAGCATCGGCGTTTGTTATTATCAGTGAATTGCAGTCTTCATTCGTGACTTGAGCATGGCAGTTTGCCATATCAATCTCTGAGGTATTAACATCCATCAAGTCAGAGGTCGGGTGACTGCTGTGGTCGGAATTTTTAAGAACTTCAACACTTTGGTCTGTCATCTCCTGATCTACAACCTCACTTGAATTGGTCACTTTGATCTCATCAGCTGGGTGACATTGGTGCACTTCTGCCTGCAGGAAGTCGGCTCTTTGGGAACCATTTAAAATCCTTTCATTCTCCACATCGCCTTCCAAAGGACCGTCTGCATTCACCTGCTCTGAAAGAGAGTCCGACAAACCCGATTCAGCCGCTGCTTGAGTGACAATGTCGTAGTGAAATGCACCCGTTTGCATTGGTTCTAAGATAAAAAACTCCTCAGATGTACTATCTGGTATTTCCACTTTAGTGGTGGCTGTAGTTGTCGTCACTGTGACGTCTGCCACCTCCTGCACCTGTTCAGAAACCTCTGTGGCACTGGCACAATCTGCATACCCATTCCTTTCTCTTTGTAGTGTAGCATCTTCCGACTGGCCATCTGGCATGCTGATGTCATCGCTGGAGCTGATCACTGCGACTTGTTTCACATTCATGTTACTCTCCTCCAAATGTGCAGGAACACAACTCTCTGGCACTCTGACGGTTTGTGCTTCCACTTCAACATCTTGGCTGTCTGGGACACACATTTGTTCCTGGAGGTCTTCCTCTTTTCCCAGTTGTTGGCTACAACTGTTGTCTCTACTAGTTGATACATCTCCTTCCATCTCCCGAGTGTTCTGAATGTCCAGTAAAGACGCACCGTCGTGGTTCTCTGATGCTGTGGAAATCTCCCTGTCATCATTACTCTCTGGACTACTAATGGGCTCATACACCATCTGGTTTTCATGAATCTCAACATCTGCCTGATTAACCGTATTAATTGGCTCGCCTGATGCTGGAATTACAATATCAGCGTCATCCGGTTGCCCACAAACAAACACCATTACTTCATTGCTTCCAGTTCCTTCTCCTTCAATATCGCTGACCCTTTCTGTTGATAAACCGACAACATCCATATTCCCTTGGATATTCTCACTCGGCTGTATCTGCATGTTGGCATTTTCCTCACTTTCAGGCCAAGGAGGAGGTTGGTTAGTTTCACTCGATAAGGCTATAGTGGGTTCATCGACTCCCCCCGTCCTCTGGTTTTGCTCCTCCATGGTCGGTGCTGCATCAAAAATATCCTCCGGTGTTTTAGTAGTTTCCATATTTATTTGAACGTCTGTAACATCCACACATTCAGCATTAACCTCATTTTCCTTTTCCTTACTCTCACAACTTGCAGTCACTAGATGATTTTGAGCTTCGGCGTGGAGTTCTGGGCTCCCCTTGATTTGCATTTCGTCTGTAAGGGGTTGATTAGAAATTTCCGGCGCTGCTGTCGCTCGCCCCTCCATTTCTATATGATTATCAGATGCATCCACACATACTGTGATAACTGTATGCTTGTTTTCTTCACTTGTTGTGTTTGCCACAATAAAATCTTTAGAATCGCTGACCTGTGTTGTGAGTTCTTCGACCTTATGACTTCTCTGATTCTGTGTTTCTGCTTTAGTTGTGGGATCAGAAGTCTCCTCTCGTGTTGTTGTGCTCTGCAAATCAATTTCTCTTTGATTCTCTGTTGCACTGACACACACTGTGGTAACCTTGTTTTCATTTCCATTCCTCTCAGGAGTCTGAATCTGAAGACCTTTTTGAGAGCTGTCTGTTTCAGGTTCAAAGACTGCTTGGCACACCTGGGCTTGTGTTTCTGCTATGTTAGAAATCTCCATTGATGTTGCTGCAGTCTTGATATTTACTTCATTTTGACTTTGTATTTCCAGTGCATGTGCTTTGTCAATTATCTCCTCGGATGATGTAGTCTGCATGTCCACTTCTATAATGCTTTCAACTACAGGAGCTGGATTTTCCATATGTTCAGCCTTTTGATCCTCATGCAGTTCAGCAGACATGTCTGTGGTGGGTTCAATGACTTCCTGGTTTTGCATATCCACTGTAGGTGCAATGTTAGACGTCTCTTCTGATGCTGTTGTTGTCTGCACATCCACTGTAGGAGTAGGTGCAATGTTAGACGTCTCTTCTGATGCTGTGTTGTCTGCATATCCACTGTAGGAGTAGGTGCAATGTTAGACGTCTCTTCTGATGCTGTTGTTGTCTGCATATCCACTGTAGGTGCAATGTTAGACGTCTCTTCTGATGCTGTTGTTGTCTGCATATCCACTGTAGGAGTAGGTGCAATGTTAGACCTCTCTTCTGATGCTGTTGTTGTCTGCATATCCACTGTAGGTGCAATGTTAGACGTCTCTTCTGATGCTGTTGTTGTCTGCATATCCACTGTAGGTGCAATGTTAGACGTCTCTTCTGATGCTGTTGTTGTCTGCACATCCACTGTAGGAGTAGGTGCAATGTTAGACGTCTCTTCTGATGCTGTTGTTGTCGTCTGAATATCCACCTCTATTCTATTCAGATTCTCAGCAGCAGCTAGAGCTTCAGCATCAACCCTGCCTTCAGCTTTCTGGCAAATTGCAACTGGATGTTTCTGTGTTTTATCAGACATTTCTGCGATGGGTTCGTCGTCTCTTGGCCTCTCCTGGATTTGTACTTCCACAGAAGATGCAGGATTAAGAATCTGTGATGCCGTTGTAGTCTGTCTCTCACGTCCACTAGTGCATTCAAAGTCCTGGTTGCCATGATTTTCCATTATTTTAGAATTTGAAACACAATCCTTATTCAATTCTGTAGATATGTCTGCAGTGTGTTCACTTACTTCCTGCCTCTTCTGGATTTGTATTTCCATTGTGGCGGCTTCATTGGAAATGTCCTCAAAGTCGTTCTCTTTTTCTATCCTTGTCTCTACAACTTCTTTGACTACAGCTGGTATTTGCGTAGTATTGCCATTACCTATGTGGTTCCCCCCGTTTAGTGTATCCTCCTTAGGTGCTGATTTATTCCTGTCCTCTGTCATTTTGGTCTCCAGGTCCGTGTCAATATGCCCCTTCAAGTCTGTGACACACTCAGAGAGCACCTTGTTTTGATTTTGCTCAGGAACAGCCTCACAATTTGATGTCAGAATTTCTGTACAGCTGTCAGTCGTCTTTTCCATCACTTGTACTTCAGCAAAGGACGCAGAAACAGCAACAGTCTGAGTCGACAGGAACTCGACTCCTTTCCTATCACTTTCCTTACGTTTTTCCTCCGACTTTCGTACCAGTTTTTCCACATCCTCACACGAGTTGGTAATTGCACCTGGCACTTCATGGCTCACGTGATGAATGATGTTAGATTCCTCTTTGAAAGTAACTTGAATTTTGACACTGAGGTCTGTTTGAGTGTCTGGATTGCCAGTGGGCAGTGTTAATTTCTTATTAGTCTGACTCTCAGGATTAACACCTCCTTCCATGTTTGTTTCATTTGATAACGCTTTATCTACGACATCAATATAGTCTGCGGAGACATTGGCTTCCTGCCCTTCATCCTCACTTTTACATTTTACATCCAATGTCTCCTTAGAAACAGACTCTGTGGTGTCCTTAGTTTCAGTTTCACTGATGTTAACTGTAGGACTTTTAGGAAATGAGTTCATGCTCTCCTCTAACTGTATTTCCACTTCACAGGCTGGATTTGCCTCTCCAGTACTATACAATGTTTCCACTGCAGGTGCAACTGTTTCATTGTCTACACACTTTTGGTTATTGATGTCTTTCTTTTCAATCCGTTCTGCCTCAGATGTGATGCAAGGCGACCCTTTAGCTGTTGCAGTGACAGGGTCTAAGCTCTCTATACATGATGTTGGGGTTTTATTATCATTGAGCATTTGGCCTTCTACATTTTTCAATTCCTCATGTTTGATTTGATCGTCTGGGCACTCAAATTCAATGCTAGCCTTTGCACTTCTGCTTGCAGCGACTAAAGAGTATTTTGACTCTGCTTGTGTTGCATTAACTGACATTACTTGTACCTGTAGTTCAGTGACAGAGTGTGCGGATTCTTTTTTCTGATCCATATCAAGCTCTCCCATACTTGAATCTGAAAATCTACCATAATTGTGGTCCATCTGAACGGGGCCTTCAGGTGCAGACGGTGACCCTTGGCCTGTCTCCTGTGGGTCAGACGTTGGCTCTTCAGCTTTGCGCTTCGCTTTGACTCGATTCGAATATTTTCGGATGCAGCGTGCCTTGTCGCCATCATGCCTCTGTCTGAAAGGGTCAGTCTTACTACTATCACTACTTAATTCATCCTCAGACTCAGTGGAGGCTGTTCGCTTCAGGGAAGCATTGGAGTTAGCTTTCTGTGAGGGAGCTTCTCCGCAGGAGGCACTTGTGGCATTTAGGAGCTTGGATTCTTTGAGAGGGGGTTCAGAAATGGTTTTGCTGGAATCCTTTGGAGGGGAACTTTGTATTGATGACTTGGCTGGTATATTCCGTGAGTCTGCTGCTGTATTATTTGTAGCTGGTGCAGTTGTGGATTGCATGTCATCCTCATCCTGATCCAACTTCCTTATCTTGCACTGAGAATCATCAGGAGATGACCCTCTCTTTGGGGCATGCATTCTGTCAAAATACGTGACAAAAATATAGGTATTACAAAAAGGCAGGAAAACAGCACAAATTGAACAAACTCTTTAATTAGAATTGTATTAAATAAGCTATAAGTAACACTTTCAGGCACCCTTTTTAAATGTTTAGCTAGACATCTGATGAAGTTAATTGATTATATGCTTTCAAAACAGTGATCTGTGTAAAGTAAATTTAACAGAAATAACTATAACATAAACAGGAACTATATTCATGTTTTAAATGCATTAACTGTTACCTGGTATTTATGATCATAAAAAAGGCTAACGGGAAATAAACAGTGATACATCGCAGTTAAACTAGGTGGTTAGTGAGTCACCCAATGTACGATTTACAATTACTAACTTGGTTGCCATCTACATATAATCTTACCGATAGCCTGACAGAGAATGGTGTCCCCAAAAGTTGTGCTAACAGTCCGAAATGCACAGTTAGCTATTGCTAGTAAGTGTGCTAGCTGGAAGTGATGGAAGCTAATGCTAGCAACTCGCAACAAATGAACGATACGAGACTCGGTTACTAAGTCAGTAAAAACAGCAGGCGGACACACAGAGGAGATAATAGAGAGAGTATATCTTACTTTACTTATGTGTGCGAAAAGATAAAGCCAAGACATCCGTCAATGAAACTCTCTTCGCTGTTTTCTTTTTCAACAACAGCTGTTTTTTTTTTTCTGTGAATAAAAATTAACTGTACTTCCGGAGAGGAACAGCGGAAGTGACGTAGGAAAGCTCAAGAGTGAAGTTTTGTAAATTTGGGCTTTAATTTATTTATTTATGAAAGATAGAAATTGCACATTAATGAACATTGGTGTCATGCTAATATAACGTATATTAACACAGTGTTAAATGTTAATAATGTGCAGTATAATTGCACAATAATTACAAGGAAAAGGAATATCACATGCCAACATACAACAGCTTTTATAGACACCTACAACCATATTGTTCAATTTCTAGATACATAATTATTATATGTCAGCAGTGGTTTTAATATAACTTTAACTTACTTTTATGATACATTTTTATGTTACATTATACTTTGACTCCACTAGGCTTACAGTTCAGAAACCTATCGTACCATTGACTCCACTACATGTATTTGTAGTAGCGTCTATTAACATGAAATAATCCTAACCAATATATGTAATATATATATCATATATGTTATATATCACATATATGTTAAGAACTAATAGTGCATCTGTATATTTTACAAGCTGAACAGAATACCAACACATTTTGGTATCTCGCTGACTCCCAACAGGTTTGTATGTGTACATCTTTTTAAGCTGTCAAATCTGAATGGAAGCAGTAAAATCAGATTTGGAAGGGGACGCTGAAAATAACTTTCTTATGATTGTGTTCAACTCAGTTGGTTCTGTAGGGTTAGCAGAGAGGTGAGTGTTATTTCATAATAATTCCTCTTCTAATTTCCATGAAATCAATCAAATAAAGATAAAACAGTGTTTTTATGTGATTTTATTTTTCAGAGCAAATCACATTAGTGGTAAGCAGAATAATGAAAACACTTTAAAGTTGTTAGATGCAAATATACAGACACAATCCAATATACATGTTTTGCATGTTTGCAAGTATACAGTATAGTGAGGGAGGGCATGTCATTAATTCATGCACCAACAGTAGAGGTAAAGCAACAGGCGGAGGGTAAAAGCATCAATAATAATAATAACATGAGGGAGTGCAAATTCCCTGTTTACTGTTTAATCTCCAGGATTCCATGTCCTGGCCTGCGCTTCTTCGCACTGCAGATGTTACAAAACTGCACCCCAGGAATCTAAAAAGGGAAAGAGGGAAGTTAAGAAGTCTCAATATATCACAGCAAAGTCATACGTGAGATTCTCAGATTAGATCAAATAATACCAGGGTAAAAGATAATGATGTAAAAGTTAACACCTAAAGAAAAAGGAATATGATGTGTTGTGTAAAGAGAGACACAGATTGAAGTGAAGTTACTCACTGATCCTGAGGATGGCAAACATTCCTTGTGAAACATGTGTCTGCAGTGAAACACCACCACACTGAAGGGCTTGGCCATGTCTGAAACAAAGATGTAACTAGCATGAATATCTTTCAAATGCAATACAAATACAATCCAATGAAATACTTGGACAACTCGATGGTAAACCCACCTGATGGTAGTATTGCAGCATGGCAGGATTCACAAATGTTCTCCTCTGAAAAGGAAAAGCAAAACTAATATGAGTACAGTTTAAAAAGGACATCACCTCTGCTGTTTCTGCATAAACACAGAGAAAAACGCCACCCACCATCGGCCCGGACTCCTCTCATCTGTGTTCGGTGCATCTTCTGGAGCAGAGAGAGGGAGTCGGCCACCAGGATCTTCTTACATCCTTCCCTCAGAAGAATCTTAGAAATGGGAAAACAAACGCTGGTTAGGAAGTAAACAGCACTAATTAACACTTAGTATAAATCAATTCTCAAAATGTCTTTCTGTTGAAATCACCCTTATTGCTAGAGGGATACATTATTTCTAACTGGAGCTACTGAAGTTAGTTACATTAAAATATCCCTCAACATAGCGTCATGCTTATTTAATCCCTTATAAGTGTATACATGTAGTAAAAACAATATTCTGTGTACTAAAATGTCTTCACTTCGATTGATCCTCCAGGGTGGCATATAAGCAATCTTAAAAGTCTCTTAAGTATTAATGTGACCATAAACTGACTATATTAATGCCTGTTATGTCACATTTAAGCAATTATTGAGTTTTAATTAATTAATTTGACCACTACATGTGCATTAAATAATGTGTCTTTGAAATCTGTCTATTCATCCTTTTTAATGTATTATTTCAACTGGATAAAAGCAACTAGAAGTATGACCAGTGTTAATGGCTGTATTACTAATTTAATTTCAAGGGGGGAAAAAAGAATATGATGTAACAGAAACAAGTCTAACCTGTAGATTGTAGTCGTGGAGGATTTTTACGAGTGAATCCCTGAGGTTTGGGATCTCCATGCCCTCCTTTATGCGATGGATGAGCAAGATGGGATCCACATGAGTACCAATGTTGTTAAGGAGGCCAGTGATGAACGCTGGGGAGAGACAGAAGACATGAAAGAGTGAAAATGACAAAGAATTACGGAATGAAAACACATGTTCGGTGGGGACGAGACTGCATCGTACGTGGTTTGTCTATAGAGTAAGAGATGAGATCCTCCCAGAGCTCAGCGTCGTCCTGCTCCTTGGCAAACTCTATGGCTTTATCCACATCCTCCAGCTCCTCCATGATCATCTGCAGAGCCCGTCGGCAGTTCCCCATCCTGCCTGCGAGCCAACATGCTAGGTTAGCTTCCTTTTCATCATTTCAAAGACACTTAAAAGTGAGAAAATAGACTTTAACTAAGACTTACTGAGCAGGAAGACAGTCTCCTCTACAAAGTTCCTCTGCTGACAAATCTCGAGAGCCTGACAAAAAAGACAACAAATATTCATGTCTTGTAGCTTTTGGAAACTTCAATTGAGCATATGGACGACATGTACGACTCGTACCTTTTCAAGAGGACAGTGCGTGCTATCTCTCAGGAATGGTAAAAGATTAGGTCGGTCGTATTCAGCGTACAGGCCGATCTGTCTCTCGTGGTATTTTTGGCCTTTGTGGTGGTCCCGCTTGAACAGTTTATGGAGGTACTGTGGGGAAAAGAAGAGTCAAATCACTTCTGAATTACATTGTGAGAGTTAATAGGATTATATTTAAAGAGTTCTCCACTCACCACATGCAGAAGCTCTGGCCTGTCTGCCAGTTCTTCCACCACCCTGTCTGTCTAGAAGCAGGGAGAAGAGAAACAGGATCAGTGTGTCGCACATTTTCATCACGAGTAAGAAAAGACAGAGACATGTACACTTACCGATAACTTGTCTTCATTGTCGAGAAGCATGTCAACTGCTTTCTGGAAATACAATTATTCAGATTCAGATTCAACTTTATTGTCATTACATAGTACATGTACTAGTGACGAAATGTAAGTTTAGGCATCTGACCAGAAGTGCAAAATAGCAGTGCAGGAGTCTACATAGAGAATGTATTACTCAAACATCGAATTTATGATTTAACAAAAGGTAAACAATACCAAATGTACGTGTTCTCAGGCTGTACCTCTTTGTCAAAGTCCATGAGGAGCACGATCTTGTCCTCGATGGAGGAGAACAGGTTGTGTTTGTGGATCAGCTGGTAAACGTCTTTGTGCCTCAGCCTCAGGTAGATTTCTAAGGCTCTGTCGTACCGCTGGTCGTACGTGTACCTGCAAAAGCATGAAAGAACGACACAATTCTTAATCAAATTTGACTTTTTTTGTATCTGTCAGCATTCATTTAAGCATTACTCTGTGAATGAAACAGATGAATATGGACACATTGTGCAACACAGCCTTTAAATACACAAACATTGATTAAAAAACCCAGACTAGATCTTACAGTTTTAGGAAAAAAACAGATAATAGACACTAATTTACATGTGTATGAAATGATGCACCCAATATCAACCTTTGAAACTGACAACTTTTGTTTGAATGTGTACTTCAATAATGATTCAGTTGGTTGAGTTATTCATGTGGTAAGATGGCTCACAGTTCAGCCAGCGTGGTGAGAAGGGTACTGTTGGTGGGGTCTCTCTTCAGGTGATCGGAGACCGTCTGAACGATGGCCATGTTGTTATAAAGCTCTCCAGGCCACTCCCGGATCAGGGTGGCAAACCCCTTTTTGGATAGCACAGGAAGTGACGATTAACAGGTGGATTAACACTGAATGCGTAACAGCATAGCAATAGCATTGTGGGACAAAGTACCTCGTAGTCCGTTTTGAGAAATTCATGCAGGATCATTTCATAGATGGCTGGTCTGAGACGCAGGTCCCCTCGGGGTAAATACTGGCTGATGGCCTGAAGTCGGAGAGAAGTGATTGATATGAGATTGATACTATTAGAACGTTGCAATTTATAGAGGTTGCATCACAATTTATGGAAATTCCTACCTTCAACTGCCCGATGGTCTTGAACCTGTATACTTCATTTTCCCATAAGTCCATGTTTTTTCCAAGAACCTTCTGACACTTCCTGAATAGAAGAAAAACATTAATCATTCAGATCTAACTAGACGACTATACATAGATGAATAAGGAATGTTGTACATCACACAACAATACTATATCGTCTTTGCGGTCAAAAGTTTAAAAAATAAATAAATTATTGATCAATTTAGTGGTTCAACTTCTGACTAAATGAGCCTTGAGTTAGGATTATTTTCTCAATCTGTTTTTGTTGAATTTGTGTTGCACATGTATTACAGTAATTACAAATAAAAAAATACATATTTTCTATTCAGTAACCGAGGTGAAAAGACATTCGGATTATGTTAAGGTTGCATGGTTTCCTACTCTAATATAAGGTAACTGCACAAGTGATATCTTTTGTTGAACCCTTACAATAGAACGTTACTGTAATATAAAGATGCACTGAACAAAAATATAAACGCAACACTTTTGTTTTTGCTCCCATTTTTCATGAGATGAACTCAAAGATCTAAAACATTTTCTACATACACAAAATAACCATTTCTCTCAAATATTGTTCACAAATCTGAAAAAATCTGTGATAGTGAGCACTTCTCCTTTGCCGAGATAATCCATCCCACCTCACAG